CAGATTTTTAGCTCTGGTTGAGGGATTGTTATTGATCAGGAGACTTAAGAAAACTCTCCAGCTCTCATTACGAGTAATGCCATGAGATTTTAACTTCCACCTCAGAGATTGAACAGGGTCACAATTTGCTACCGTATGCAAAAGGCACACTTGTGACAATGAAGCACTCCCTATTGAAACATAGAATCATAGGAAATAGGAGCTAGAGTAGGCCCTTCAAGACTATTCTGCCATTCCATTTGATCGTGGCTGATTCTCAATCTCGCTATGACACTGCCACTTTCTTCCCATACCCCTTCATGCCCTTAAAATCTAAGAAGTGATCAATCTCTTTCTTGAATATAGTCAGTGACCCAGCCTCTTTTGTGGCAGTGAATTCATCAGATTCACTACCCTCTGAGTGAATATGTTCCTCCTCTCTGTCCAAAATGGCCTACCGCGAATCCCGAGACTGTGTCCCCTGGTTCTAGACTCCCTCTCCAAAGGGAACATTCTCCCTGCATTTAGTCTTTCCAGCCGCTATTAGAATGTTATACATTTCAAAGATCCCCTCTCATTCTTCGAAATCATGATGAATACAGGCTGACTTGTACAAATCTCTCCTCATACAATTGTTCTGCCACCTCCCAGTATCAGCTTAGTGAACCTTGGTTGTACTCCCTCTATCTCAAGTATATCTTGGGTAGGGAGACCAAAACTGTTCAACCATGACCCTGCATAGCTGCATAAAGACATCCCTATTTCTGATTTGAAGACACAATTATTCTTTATTAATGTACGTTTTTGAGTAAAGTACTGTTGGATGTCAAATGTAGTTGGTATTACCATGGATCACTGTGTCAGAATTGATCCAGCATATAAGGTGACTTATATTTTATTTGCAGCTTAAAATCATGTTTTGACTACATTCACTATATAAGCTGACCTTTTCTCCTGTACCCTCCTTTCTCAACTACAAATTGCTGTACTTCTATCAGTAAATTTTTCAGTACGGAAATGTATGTTTTACTTACCTTATGGTACAAGTGCAGGGAACCTAGCAGGCAAAACAAGAGGATGTGCAGGAGTTGAAGGTATACCCACAAACAGACTTTGCAAGGCATGGCAAGAAGAATAGAAATGGACTCTCCAGCAAAATGATTGAAATACAAAACAAAAACAGAAGTTGCTGGAATAGCTCAGCAGGTCTGGCAGCATCTGTGAAGAGAAATCAGAGTTAACGTTTCGGGTCCGGTGACCTTTCTTCAGAATTCAGAGAACTTGGTGAAGTACAAAGCTGTGTTACAGCTAATAATTGTAACATTTGCTAACTCATCAAACAGCTATGCTGCAGAGAGGGAATTTGGTGTGTGTGTAGAACTGGAGTGGGTATAGAAGAAGAAGGAATGTGCCCTTAAGGGAATGCCAAAAAAAACAAATGCACCATCAAGACAGGGACTGATTGTTGGCCTGATCTTGAGAAGCATATATTGGAATGAGTGCTTGAAAATCATCAGAATGGTTATTTGTCTCCAGTAATGCAATGTGTTTGTAGGCTTTGTGGACTAAATCAAACACCGAGTCCAACAAAGAATTCATGGCATCAACTGGTTATTGTAGCTATTTTATGGAATGAAAGAGTCTGGTATTGAAGGTCTAGATTGATCAGAGGCTACAACCCGACTGCTTCTCAGAGATTTCTGATGAGACATCAGCTGAAACACAAGGACCATTACTTCAAATCAGCAACATTTTGACTATGACCAGCAACCAAACTGGAGTGCAAATGTTTGAAAACAGTTTAGCTGAAAACATGAATATATGGGAAGACCCTCTTCATGGCAGGACTAGCCCACAGGGCTAATGGAGCAAAATTAAAACCAATGGGATTTTCCCAACCCAGAACCAAAGGCAAAAATCTTGTTCCCTACAAGAGCTTTCTTGTGCAGCTCCATGACAATGGTTAGATGCATATAGTTTTGGATCTGTACTGTCTTAGACATTCCGATGGCTGTGTAGTTGTTGTAACCGTGTAAAGTGCTGTTGGACTTTGGGACCATGTGGAAATCCTGGAGCAGCCGAGTCCCAAAGAATTGCCTGGGAAATTGATAATTCTGATGGTCAATTCCTCTGCTTCTGGAACCTTTGGAAAAATAAAACCCTTAAATTTGGAGAATTCAGAGAGCTTTGACTCACTGAAGTTTAATAGCTACCCAGGAAATGTTACAAGAGTTTCTGACTCAATGTCCCATGAGTGAATAAAATAAAATAAAGATGCTTACTCTTTCACACAGTGAGTTCCAGATTCCTACCACCCTTTGACTGAAAAAAGACTTCTCAACTCTCCTCTAAGCATTCTATCTCTACCTTAAATCTTATTCATCTTGGTTATTGACTCCTCTACTAAAGGGAAAAGTGCCTTCCTATCCATGATCTTCAGCCTCATACATCACTGTCAGGTTCCCTCTCAATCTTTACTGCTCCAATGAAAAAAGCCCAGCCTGTCCAATCTTTTTTCATAACTTAGGCATTCCAACTGGGCAGCATCCTGGTAAACCTCCTCTGCACCCCCTCAAGTGTAAACACATTCTTCCTATAATGTGGTGACTAGAACTGTACATAGTACTTCAGCTTTGCCCTAATCAGCATATAGTGTGGAAGCAGGCCATTTGGCCCATTGAATCTACACCGACCCTGTGAAGAGCAGCCCACCCAGACTCACCCTTCTACCCTATCCCTATAACCCTGCATTTCCTATGGCCAATCCAGCTGACCTGCACATCTTTGGACATTAGGAGCACCTGGAGGAAACCCATGCAAACATGGGGAGAATGTCAACTTCCATACAGATAGCCGCCTGAGAGTGGAATTGAACCCAGGTCTCTGGCACTGTGAGGCAGCAGTGCTAACTACCGAACCACCATGCTGCCCTTGTGCTTGCTGCTGTATTCTATGCCTTGACTAATAATCAAGTATCCCATATGTCTTCCAAACCAGTTTATGTACCTGCCCAGCTACCTTGAAGCATACCGAGGCTCCTCTGGTCTTTTTTATGCTTCATTCATAATGTAATCCCATGCCTTGTTATCCTTCCCAAAGTCCAATTCCTCACACTTTTCAGAACTGGTTCTAGGAAGAGTCATATTAGACTCAAAATATTAATACTGTTAACTGTTTTCCTCCCCTGCAGATGCTGCCAGACCTGCTGAGTTTCTCCAGCATTTTCTGTGTTTGTTGCATTGATATCCCATTGCAAATTACAACTATTCTCCTCATTATTTACCACCCTACATTCTTTTTGTCATCCACAAACATCTTAATCTTATTTGTATACCATTGAAGTATACCAAACAGCAAGGGCTCCAACGCCAAGCCCAGATTTCCATTGACAGAAACAACTTTCTACCATCATCCTCTGCTTCCTGCCTCTCATCCAATTTTGGATCCAACATGCCACTTCTATTTGGATCCCATGGGCTGTTCGTTTTTTGACCAATGAGCCATGCAGGATTTTTTCAAAAGTCTTGTTGAAGTCCATGTAGACCCAATCAAATGCATTACCTTCTCAGTACCTGTCACTCTATCGACCTCCATCTCAGTCGTCTGATAGCTTAGTCCCTCACCTTGCACCATACTCCTCATCTAGCACCATAACCATCCACCCTTTCCTTCTCCTACTACCTCCCACCTTGCTTACCCAGTACTTTGACCCTTCTTTCCCCACAACCCCCCAACACACACACACACACACACTCATATACTCGCAGCGTTGCTTACCTGGTACCCCACCCTTCCCTTATCCTCCATCTTCTCCACCTGGCCCCTTAGCACACTCCCACCTTACTTGACACTTTATGCACACATTCCTGTCCCCACTCATCTGACACCCCTCCCTTTCACCTTATGTGCTTACTCTTTCACCATAGCTTTCAAAGTGCCTGCTGGTACTTAAAACTTCTGACTGCTGCACTCAAAGCTTGGTTATTTCGATGATCTGTTGCCAGATAAGAGTGTCAAAGCAAGAGGCGTCTGTCCATGAGTCCCTGTGTAGAAGCCATCTGAAGGTAAATGGTCAAGAAATTGTCAGTTCTCAATGGGTTGAGTAGGCATCCCAATGGCCAAGTACTGGATGCAACTTATTAGCGTGGGAAATGTTCCCCTCCTATATAACTAATGAATGTCTGAGCTGAAAATATACCCTCATTACAGATGGGGTTGAGAGTCTAATGCTTGTAGTTCAAGCTCAAATGTGTGCCTTTATGAGTCCTTTAAGGATCATGATCCACCAAATGCAATATTGGATGATTAGTAGAAGTAAAGCCTTCACAGATTGTGGAAATATGTGTGCTGGCCCGCTTGATGCTTTGCACGGTTTTGTTAATGTAGGCTGCTATTTGCACACAAAGTGTCATCAGATCATTCAAACAATGAAGAGTGTCTGGTGCAAAGGCTGAAGACTAAGATGACATGTTGTGGAAGGATGAATCTGAGAATGTCACATCTGATTCCTTATGATGGGGTCATTGCCAAAGTGTCACAGAATGAATTTGATGAACTTTTTATTTTGGATGCTGAAGATAATTTAATTGTTTTAAATCTCCTCGATTATAGTTAAACATATCGCTATACACCTCATTCCTTCAATAAGCTTTGTCACATGAATTGCCAGTGTTGTGTTTTTTGACATTTCAAAATGGCATCACATGCACCCATACCATCAGTTCACGTTTTTGATGTCTTCAAAGGTCAACTTATACACTGTACATTCTATGGTAATGTGGATGATGGAAATCTGAAACAAACATAGAAAGGGCTGGAGAAACTCAGCACCGTCTACGGAGAGAGAAACAGAGTTGACATTCCCAGTCTGGCAGTTCCTCAAAATGAAGCAGGATTATACCGGACTTGAAATGTTAACTCTGTTTCTGTCTCTGCAGATGTTGCCAGACCTGCTGAGTTTCTGCAGCTATGTCTGGTGTTTGAAACTATTTATTAATTACTCTTGAAATCTTTTTTCATAGTACAGTTACTTGTCCTGCATTCTCCAGTTCGCCTCCACAAAATTACTGTCAGGTTGACGCACCTGAATTACAACAGCTGGTCCACACATCTGATTGCTCCGCTGTCTGTCAACCTGCATTGACCTCAAGCTGTGAAATGAATGGTGAGCTCCTACTAGGACACATTGATGATGCTGGTGTTTCATCACGACAAGCAGGCTGTGAGATGCCCTTATCCCACTGTGCTTCAGTCTCCCACTACAGACAGGAGCATGCTCCAGTGGAATGTACAGAGCTAGACCTTCAAGAGTATCTGACCAATGCTGTCACACAGAAAACTACAGCACGCTCCCGGGCCTCAAGCCTACATAAAGGGCAAACTACAGCATCCTGTAGCTTTGGATCTTGTCCTGGTATAAAAGAATCATCCATGTGGGATCATGATGAGAGCAGACCAGAAAAATGCTCTAGCAGTAGATGTGGTAACTCACAACACTGCAATCTGCCCACTGGAAATAACCGGGTAAGTTATTGTTTCAATTAAAATGTGTTTTTTTTTATTTGAAGTTTGAGGCACATTTGGAAACAATTGCTGAGTTGTTTCGTGTTTTTCTCTTAATGTAGTGTTTGCCTTTTCATCTTCCCTTTTTGTACCAGGCACTATTCTCCAGCTGAGGAATGACGTATTAATAATCTATGTGTGTACAGATGCAGTGAAGCCTTTTCTTTCTACACATCCTTCTTCTATCTCTGTAAAAGCCACAAAGTAAACTCCGCAAATATCTACCTATAAAAGAAAATTGTACTCTGTCCTGATGAGACTAGACAGACAACTATGATTGGCCACTATTTTATGGTGACCTAAGGCAAATTGTGATTACCTAGTATGTGATTCCAGGATTCAGGGATTCAAATTCCCTGATTTCATCAATTTTCCCATTAAGGACAATGGTTAATAGTGACTGTGTAAATCAGATTCTGTTTAAGATTACAGTATTTTCCTGGATTTCAGTGCTGGCTTAAAGGTTATGTTCTGCATATCCATCTATTTTTCTATGAACACTGCAAATCAGTGACCTTGAAAATAAGAAAAAAAAAGGCTGTATAGAACTCTAAGCATTCACAAGCTGTTTGGAACATACAAATGTCATCTGTAGAGTTCAACAGAACAGGATTGAATAATGTTACATTGATATCCTGGAGTGTTATTCTTTATAGGTTTTGAGATCAGGGATAGCTTTCAGAATTTTGTTTTGGAAACATTACCAGGCTTTAGCTGTCTTTCTGAATTGTGCAGCGTCCACGACCATGTAGGTTCCTTCTTATTCACTGGGAAGGGTGGCTCAATAAACTAAAAATGTTCTTTCTTGTTCCTTATTTTCTTTGTTCTTATAATTGCACCAGTGTGATGTATCCATTTTCACACACTATTTGACATTGTAACTCTCTGACTCATGCTATCAATGGAACTTGGTCAACTGCCTGAACTTGTTACATTAGAGAACTGTTGGCACTGAAATTTATGATCAGTAAGAGTGACACCCATTGCAAACCCACTTCTAAGTGTATGGAGCTGCAGTTGTTATTAACAGTGAGCTATGTTTTTAAAGCAAAAATAAGACAAAATCTCTTTGTGATGGGCCCTTGGCATATTTGTTTGGGGCATGCTGTAATGGGCGCCAAACGTCTAGACTTCTTAAAATTTTGCCCAATGATAAAAAAGACAATTAAAATCTTGTCAACTGTGTTTTCTCGTCTCTGGCCAGCAGTCTCTTTCCTTTTCTAGCTGTAGCCTAATTATCTCAGTTTTATTCTTTGTATTATCTCAGTTTTATTGATGACGCTACCATCATATTTTTCTCTGCTTTCTCTTTCTTCCTTCTTGGCTCCACCTGTTGAAATTTCCAAATTCTGTGGCCAGAGGGTTAGATTAAGGCTTCTCTTGACCTCTCCAACTCTAAAGTGACTGAGGTCCAATTTTCTGTCTTATGCATGAAGGGCAGGACCTCTGGCCACTGCTATGATAAGGTTTTCTTTATCTTCCCTGTATATGGAATTAAATCATTGTGTATAAGTTGATGTGGAATTTTAAGACAATTCCATTACCTCTGTGCCAAAAATGCGTATTTAAGCTTACGGTCGGCTTTGAAACTGCCATCCCCCATTCCACTTTCCTGCTAAGATATGCCATTCTTGCATTAGAAGCCAGCTTCAATATATTTTCACCTCCAAATTTCATGTTTTAGCTCACCTTACAGGTCTGGATCATCCAGGCATGGAATATGTTGCCAAGTGGACGGGTGTGAGTTTAAGAGCGCACAGAGCAGATTGCACGTTTAGAGAGAAGAAGGTTAAGAGGTGACTTAATAGAGACATACAAGATGATCAGAGGATTAGATAGGGTGGACAGTGAGGGCCTTTTTCCTCGGATGGTGATGGCTAGCACGAGGGGACATAGCTTTAAATTGAGGAGTGATAGATATAAGACAGATGTCAGAGGTAGGTTCTTTACTCAGAGAGTAGTAAGGGCGTGGAATGCCCTGTCTGCAACAGTAGTAGACTCGCCAACTTTGAGGGCATTTAAATGGTCATTGGATAAACATTTGGAGGATAATGGAATAGTTTAGGTTAGATGGGCTTCAGATTGGTTT